TCTTTTTTATTCTATATAAAGAATACTAATAAGGAGTGTTTTATCAGATATAAAGGTCCATGCATGTGACCAAATAGTCTCATTCTATTGGCCTAGTAGCTCATTAATTATGTATGAGTTTTTTTAAATAATCATAACAATATTTTCATTTTGTAGTTTATTAAAGTTCTGTGGCGTGTACGTACATAGACACTGAATTATTCAACGAACTGTTAAAAACATATGAATAAAAACTTTCATTATTGGCCGCTTCCGAAAATAMACACACTACTAATTCTGTTCCATATCCCCAGAATATTGAGTCATCTACAACCATGTAGTTGATCATCCTTTTCACGCTTAACTCTAGTTAGTTTTAGTTCAAAAACTACTTTAAACGTTCTGATCAATTCATTCATTTCTTTATTTAATCAACGATAAAGTTGGCCATATTTTTTCAACTTTTCTGGCTTTGCCTATCATCACAAAAGCAGCTGTATGTACCTAGCAGAAGTCTTTCATAAAATTGAAGACATTTTGGAGAAATTTCATTCATTCATTTCTTTATTTCATCAATGATTACATGTAAGTTGGCCATATTTTTTTCATTTTTACTGGCTTTGCCTATCATCACAAAAGCAGCTGTATGTACATAGCAAAAGTCTGTCATGAAATTCAAGACATTTTGAACAAATTTCAACCACATATGTATTGACAAAACTCTGTTTAGGTCAACAAAACGACAACATTACACCAAATCATAGTATAAAGACCTTGTAATTACACGAAAACTGTTGACATCGACACAAAGAGTTCGATTTKGTATTTGCATTAGTTTGACAGATCAATTTAAAAACACGCAAGAACCAGGCTAAACCTGATGTTAGTTACAGTTTAATTAATTGACAAGGTTGGAATATTCAGAAAGTCCAAGGCATATGTTTTGGTCAGGCTTTGTGTAAGTGGACGGATGTTCCAGCGGTTTGTTTGTGTATGTGGGTTTTTTTTGATATCGATGCCGACGATCAAAAACTGTATCCGATTCAAAAGCTGAATTGAAACCTCTGAATATGACATAAACATAGACAAATAAGCAAAACAAGAAACAAAAAGACAAATAAACCAACAAATTAAACAAATATAAGACAACAACTTCCAACAAACAAACAAGAACGACCAACAAACAAACCAAAACGGCCAAAAGAAACAACAACCACACCAAATAAGGTCTAAAAACAGCGAAGTCTAAGGCCTTGTTTACGTAAGATACGGTCAGTGCCCCTAGGAAACTCTTTTCCTGGAGGATTTAAAACAAAAGAGTTTGTCTCTACCACCTACGGGCGCTCTATCTCATTTAAACTAAGCCTTCGACAGTGAAAAATATGGCGACCACTTTGGGAAGGAGAAAAAATAAGCATATTTTTAAATGGATTTAGTTTGACGTCAATGGTTGTCAAAACGAATTCACAGAGCTGTCTTTATAATTCGATATTTTGTTTTGCTCTGTCTCCACGTCCCCCATAGTAGAATAGTACATAGCATTTCAAGATGGCCGCCATATCACTGAAGTGTCATTTTCTCGATCATCTTTGTAATCTTTGAATAATTGTTCTTGTTCTCAATTGAATACTACTGAATCAGCGTCATTACAGGAAAAAAGTGACCCCCATAGCAAGAGGCCGCAGTAACTAATAAGTGCGAATTTTAGTGGTCGGAATAGCACAGAGAGTTCGTCAAAGCGAGGTGTATAACGAAAGTTAACTGTGAGTTAAACCGCAACAAACATGTTTGGAACAAAAACAATGAAAAATTAAAGTAAAAGGCAAACAAATCATGAGAAAAAAACCGTCCTTCCATTTCCAAAACGTTATTAATTCTAATCAACACGGATCATTCTCATTTTGAGATAACATCTTTGTGGTCGAGTATTGCACTCGAATCGTTAAGTACCGCACTTGGATATAAATCATACCCGGCAAATCAAGTGTGCTAATCCAACATTTCCACTTTTGAACTCGTCAACTTTCCCGAGTTTAAACCTTTTTTGAATCACATGAGTAATAATCACATGTCGCTTAAGTCAACATGTCTTGATAAACTTAGAAAAGGGTAAATACAATCCGTTATCGCCATTTTTAGTCGGTAATATTTTTTCTCTATAGTCAATTTTTGTACAGTTTTTTGCTTCCTTTCGCTTAATAACAGCTTCTAGGATTTATAATGTTTGTTTTGAGAAATTTTGAAGTATTTGGATTCTCCCACGTTGTATTTAAGTTCTCTGAAAACATTTTATTATAAAGCAACCAATAATGATAGACTAGAAGATTCGTCTTGATTAAACTAAATATCAACATAGAACTTGTATGAGAATATTATTATTATTACTAGGTGTATAATTCGAAAATTTTATGACCTTTCTGTAATTCGGTGACTTTGTGAATCTTTAGAACAATAACAAATGCTTACTTTCATAATAAATATAATTTTTCAAGACGAAAAATGAAAATACTTTATTCTTTTTTGTCTTTTTTTTAATTGACGCACCGACTTTGAACTGAATTCACATACAAAGTGGCCCTTATGGAGTTTTCCCGCTTCTCGTCAGACAAAACGCGTTCGCTTTTCTTGTGTTTTAGTTTTCGCGCTTATTAGACGCAACATGTTTGTCTCTGAATTTTTTCGTGATTTCTCGCCCTTTCACTGACCAACCGCGTTTGTTTTGTCAAGTCCCTGTAGGACATTTCCCGCTCTTTTATCAACAAAATGAGTCCGTGGCTTTTAAATGTTTTCTGTTGGAAAATTCCCGCGCTTTTCTCAACAAAGTGAGTTCTGGTGGTTCTTAACATTCAATTGTATTCCTCGGTTACATTTTCGCGCTATAAAGCCAAACACAGCTGTCACCTTGTGTTTTACCTTACTTCGTTCAATTATACTGCTCTTACTTCTCGCGAGAATTGTAAATTGTAAGCCTTTTAAAGATATTTCCGGTTCCTTCAACGTAATACTGTCAAGTGTGAGCGATCGGATTTAGTAGAGCGTCCAGAGGTATAGAAGTAAATTGAATAAGTGACAGATAGGAAAACCAATAGGACAGATTTTATAATGCCCCAGTAGATTTAAGATATTGGTCCGGCAAATACGTCTATCCGACTAAAATATATTTGAAACAATTATTGACAAGACTGAACAATACAGATCATCAAAAAACACCGCAAAACTCCAAAGGCAAAACAATTTGTACGAATATCTAGTGCCGAGAATTTAACTTATAACAAAAAAAAAGGGAAAAAAAGAAAGAAAAGCAAACGGCAGAAATCAAGGTTGACTCTTTAGTAGTGATCACGTGCTGGGCTTCACTAACAAAAGCGTTTTTCCCAATGTGATTTATCGTTCACTATCTTTTATCTTAAGACATTTTTAGCGGAGTATTCCGGTGTATTTAGTAACTTTTAATTTAGAAGTCCTACTGTAGCGATAAAGTACAGTAATAATTGTCCTAGGTACACAAACAAAAAACCCCTGAGCAATTATGAGAAATACGCCATGTAGTAGACTACATGAAAAGTAAATTAGTGCGTTGGGGAGTGAAAATTTCCATCGGACATGAGCATTCCTAAGAGGGAAATATCGTTGCTACGCGAAAACAAACCTCAGATCGAGGACACATTACATTGTTAGGACCAAAAAGACAGTTGTTTCTGCATCTAGAGTTAAGCGAATGAGAACCAAGAGTTTGTAATTAATACTTTAAGAGAATAAAGAAGCGAACGGAAAGAATTGTCAAAGATTATGTCAATAACACGAATTTCACTTATTTTTCCTAGCAAAAAGGAAGGCAATGTGCTACATTATTTAATGATAAATCGTGGTAAAAAACTAAGAACAAAAACCAATAAGAAAATCTATTCAAATAAGTCCCAATACGATAAATATTTGCGTTTTTTGTTCATGCTAAACTCTCAACAGGACTTAATTGTCGTATGAAAAGCTATACCACATCTGTACAATAACATTTCTTCTTATAGTTTTGATATTATAAATTGAGCATTTCTTTTACAATGTACGTATTTTATATTGGCACTTTCATCCCGACTGCTTGAGTTTTAATTAGTTGGTTGTTTTCGCTCTAAACTGCGCTGGGAACAAAAACTAAACGCAAAACAGGTCTTTGGAATTCATTAATAGCGGTTTATATGAGAATAATTTTTCTTCGAGTATTATACGGCGCAATTTTTATTATTTTTCTTGGCGCAAATCCTATAAAAAATGTGCTATTTCATAATAAAAGAACTATTAAAGTCATCGTTACAGACTTTGTTTTTTTTGATAGCGCTTACGGCACGAATACATCATAACCGTGGAATACACTGTGTTCCAACCGTTCGACTCAGCTATCTATGCCATATTTACCTTAAACATCGAGTCTCAATTTCCTACATAATACCTGTCGCAAACGTCTCAATTTGCAAGCCCGATTCAACTAGAGCTTCAAAACATTGTCCACACAAACACATTACTGTAATTTTGGAGCCTAAAAACTCTATTTTTATAGCGTTTATATCGCGGTGTTTCTAGAATATCATACAGCTGAGGTTTCGACGAGGTGAGAACAAACGACGAAACCGATTTTAACTAATCTAAAGATGATTACAAGACTAGCATGTTTCCCGGCTTTAACGGTTAACCGAACAACAAGCGAAGTTTCCAAAAGTGTCCGTATGGTATGAAACCAATAGAAATCGACTCCTGACAAAAAGCCACTTATGTTTAGAAAGAAATGTATAAAATTCAATGCAAAACACCAAAAGGCAACTGGGAGCCGATCGTATTTTGACGGCTGTTCAAACAACTGTGTGCCAAAAAATTAAAAGAAATCATTTTCGCTCGTTATTAAAATATCCTTCCTTGTCTTGGTAGTATTTAAATAATTTTCTTATTTTTTAATATTGTAGTTTAAATAGGAGCGCCCTTTCTTATGAAAAATGGGAATAGAAGGTGAAGAAAAAAAAAGGTTAAAAAGATGACATTATCAAAAGCAAATATATCCTACCTTCGGTTGCAATACTTGTCGATATGAGGGTGATGAAAATGGTAACCTGAAAAAGAACAATATCGTGGTGAAATCTTTCTCACGTTATAAAATGTCTATGAATTTCTGGCAATTGCCACTAAATATACTTAAAAATTGTAATAGTAATTATTATAGTTACCGAAAACATGTTCTTTGTCAATCCCTAGCCGGGACAACGACGGCAGAAACTCTCACATAATGCTGCTAATACTTGTTTCAAGAGATCCTTCAAAGAACTAAGAACTTAAGCGGATATACGAAGCCCGTTTCGCTGAATTTTCCTCGGTGTAAATTGTTCTGTAATGACACAAAACGCGATTACAGAGCGCGCGGTCGTCCTTCGGTTTTTCTGACACAAGATGTTTGCCCTTCGTAATACAATTACAATAGTAAAAGAACATTTGCATCTCATTATACTAAATCTTAAAAATGAGAATTACAACTTTATGAACCCTGGAACGAAAAAAAACCCTGATATTCATGTTATTTGATATTTAATATAATAAAATTATACAAGTTTTGTACAATGTGTAAAGTTTCTGTCAATTCTCTTTGGGATTCAAAAGCAATAACTTCATCGAGGTAGAAAAATTTAAATTTTATTGCCAGAAATGCATCAATCATTTCGTCTTAAATAGCTCTCTCTGGAGTATAACAAAAAAGCGAAAATATTAATGTCAATATCTGTTTTCTTCATAATTTCGCCCAAGGCATTTTCTATTTTCACTGCGTACAGCGTGTTTGCATTATTTTGACAACCATCCAGGAAATCTTCATATTGAAAGCGAAGAGGTAGAGGAAAAGAAATTTAGAAAGAAATAATAGAGCAAAAAATAGATTATTATAACTTTGCGTTAATTGAGACGCGAGTAAAAAGAACTCAAGTAAACTAAGTTGCAACGCCAATTAACAGCTGCTGGGGACTTTTTTCATATTCGCTAACTTATGAATTTTTTCTTGTTTGTTTAATTGATGGCACGTTACTACGGTAACAGTTTTACTTGGCAACAGGAAGCTGAAGGCACACTTCATAATAATAAATGGCGATTGCGAAATACCGATATTACATTTTGCCGACCATATTCAGTCTAAAATTGTCATTTCTAGTTTGTAAGTAATCAAATTTTTCATGTTTCGATTGAGAACGTTTCGTTAATGAATATAGTTATTCATAAATTTTTCATCTAAATTATTACGTTAATCACTGCAACAAGTTATGTTTGGCTTGCAATTTGGCATCTTTTTGTTGAAACAGTGTCACCATTATTGCAATGAAAAATAATACAATTGTCACATTGTTTAAATGTCTATTGTTGTATTGAGAATACCAGTCACTGTTATTTTCTGACATTCACAAAATATAACGTAACCGAACAAATGGAAGTAGATTCCTAAATTTGACCAGCTTTTAAAGTGATAATTAATACATCTGAGCATTTTGCTTGTCTTGAACTTCTTTTGATAATGGTTGCAATGATGTATTTTGTTGCTACTGCCGTTGCCAAGTGGATGGAAATAATTCAAAAACAAAGCAGCAACACGACAAACAAACAGAACAACTAAGAACAAACAAAAAACAAGTGCCTTTTTATCAAAATTAGAAGATGTTTTGCCCTATTTTAAACATAGTTTATAGTGTAAGTACCAACTATGGTGGTGGCCATTATATATTTTAAGCAAGGAAAAAGTCGAGTCAAACTGACTAAAATTGTCGAAAACTTTATAGGGTGAAGCCAAAAAAACCCGTTAAATAGATATTACACTAATACACCTTAGTACGCTGTAATTGCATTGTTTCTTTTGTGTCTATTTGACGATCAGTTTAATAGCCAGATTTTGGTTCACGGGTTTAACGACATCACTCAAGTCCCGTAGACATTATGTACAAATTAGGAGCTACTAAGTATGAGTACTAGAGTACTACATAACGCTTTGCACACTTTCTTTTGTAATGCAATTAGTACAAATTATTTTGCTAATCTCCAAAGGGATTTAAAATCTGAATAACAATTCTCTGCTAGTTGCAGTAAAGTTTGCAAATCATGCAAATGTGCAGTTTAACCTATAACTCCACTTTAACCGCGTTATTTTAAGTACCTCGACACCAGACGAGCAACATTGATTGACGTAACAACATCCAAAGAAGTTGTTGTGAGCGACATATTGGCGCCAAATGTGGGATATGATAACAAACTTTGCTGAACTCTCATTTTAATTTGCTAGTGCGTCAATTGACAGAATTCGATGATAAAAGCCCTTATGACCAATACGGCCGCCATCTTGAATTGCCTCGATTCAGTAAGTAACCGACATAATTTACTCCGGACTACTAAACAAAGATCTGATAGAATGTACAATATTTTGAGATAAATTATTTGATAAGATTCAATATTGAACTTGTGTTGAAAAAACATTTGGAGTGTTTTGAAACAACAATTTCAAAGCACGAAAATCTAATTTTTCGGTACAATTCACAAAACGTGTGATTTTGCCCCCTGGACACCGAATAATGAGCAGGATTATTTTTAGTCCTATTCAGAAGGAGTTTAGACTCCCACTTAGACTATCCCTGTCACTTTATTCCAGATTGGCCATTACATCCAGATGACCAAAGTTACTTTATATACGTCAAATCGAAGAAACAATCTGAAAAGCGAGACTATAGAAGTCCAAAAAGCTTTGTGGGAAACTAAACATTTATGATAACTGAACGAAAAAAAAATGCCCAGACTAGTTTTTTTATTAAGACAAAAACATATCCCCTTCATACCGTACGTTTTTTATTCCAAAAATAAAATTTTCTAAATGTTAATTTTAATTAATCATAATTGATCCCATGACATTCAAAAGATAAGAGACCGGCGGCCATGTTGGAGGAATGAACAATAGATACTAGTGAGAAAACGGCCTTTGTTCCTCCAAGATGGCCGCTGTGACGCAACCTGAAAACGAAGAACCCCCCACTTCGACGGATCACAGCTTTTGTTCACTGATTCATTCCATTTACGTCACGTGACACTGTCTTCCTTAAAAGGACACCTCCTTATAAACCTCCTCATAGATAAGTATCCCAAATTTCAGCTTATAAGATTCATAAAAGTGCAGCTACGTTCATTCAAACTCTTTTATCCATTCAGAAACTTTCTCCGTCTTCCCTGACGGACAAGCACTCGACGGTCAAAGCGATTCTCCCTAATGAGTTGTGAAAGAATAAGTACCGACTTCATTATACAGCAATTCATCAAATTCGTGTTGACACCTTTCACTTCTACTAATTTTAAAAAGGTCTAGTCATTTCTTGAGTGTGTTTTGTCGAAGCTCCTTTACTTAGAGGAGATAGTATTACGTTCTTGTTAGTGTAAATCGCCTATTTGACGTTCATCCGCCATTAAAAAGCAGTTATTCACTGACTTAAATTACGTTCTTGTTAGTAAACATTGTCTATTTGACGTTCGTCCTCCATAAAGAATTCAGATCATAAATAGATTATTAGTTTCGGTAATATCTTCAGTCTAATATATTCTAATATTTTCAGTCTAATATCTTCTAGTCCAAAGTACTTCCCTAACGTTGTAGCGTTTGTTTTAATTTAATGKTGGGTTTTCTTAATTCTACACGCAATGCACCTTGGCGAGTATCCAGGATTTGAGGGGTTCTGACGTAACAAATTGTCGCTATGACACCACATGACGTCATCATGACGCACGTCTTAGTAACTGTCTAAGAATAATGGAGAAGTCAGAAAACAAAATTCCTAACGGAATAAGTTTAAACAGCACACGAACAGCCAGTCTTCTTGTGTATTTGTCTTGTCTCCGGTTTTCCTCCCTCAGTAAAAAATCAACATGTGAGGAGTGTTGTGGGTGCTAAAATAATTAATGTAGAGGTAGTGAGTGTGAGTGTGAGGGCCACAAGTTCATCAGTTCTTTACTGTCACGTGTTACCCTCGTAAAATAAAGTCGATTTATTTATTTATTTATTTGTTTTGAGTTGTTGAATAAGCTGTGAATATGAAACTAGTGAGTGTAATTCATGCAGGTTACCCGGCATCACAGAAAAATAAACGATAAATCAACTTCTTCTTCTGTTACTATATAAACTCTAAATYCAAATGTTTTGAAAATGTTGTTCACCTAAAAGAGACATTTTCAATGTTCAAATTGACACGTTTGTTGATATAGATTCAATTTCTGGACATACATTTAGTCTAATTGCAATTTATGCCTTGTCATTTCTCCATTAAAACACACCTGACATTCTAGGCCATTTTACATGAATGGAAAGTGAATATTTTAATAAGTCCCCGAACATTGGGAATCGTCTAATTAAGTGGACAACCTTTTCTAGATATGCTGCATTTAGATTTTATGAAGAAATAGAGCTAAACCTCATACTGTCTTCTGTACATTAGACTCATTATGTGTAAAACACAAACTATTTCTCTTGTTTTTGTCATTCTAAGTTATGTATATATCTGTACTGTCTAGTTTGTAGCTATATGAATGGATTTGTTGATAAAAAAGGTTCCAAAACATCCTGTACCCCTCCTGTAACAATCTTGTAATCACCAACATTCTTAATTTAGAACGACATCAGAAAAGGRTGATACCTTGTATTGAGGGTAATGTTTTTGTCATTTATTATGTTTTAACACCAGAGACATGACATCGAAATGCATAATATAAAAAAAAATTATTTCTACCGTTATTTCATGTATTTCTTATGTTGTTTTGTCTTCTGACGCAAGATTAATTGCTTACAGCAGATTGACACTAGACAAACTTAATGACTGTAATTATAAGAAAAACAGACGTCAAATGAAAACTAGTTTCATGGCAATGATCATGGATCCCCAAAAGGTTTCTGATAGACATCGCAGTCACTAAAAATTACAAGAAAAACAGCACTTAAAAATCAAACATGGATGTTTTTTAAGATCGATGGCAGACATGGTTGTACATCATCTGATCAAYTTGATTTTCCTGGATGACGTCATCCATTGTTAGAAAATTGAAAAATTAAGGTTATTTACGCCAATAATGGTGCAGAATTGAAGTGAAGTAGTTTGGCAAGTTTTGGCGCCATTGATTCGTCGAACGGTTAAAGAGGATAAAATACGTGTTAAGAGCGGATGCAAGGATGGGTGTGAACCTCCCATTATCATCCCTGATTTTGAAGAAAATGCCGCAAGGACGAATATAAAACAAACGTTCCGGAATGTTCACAGTGATTTATTTCTTATCGAGATCGTTGAAAAACTTCGACAAAAGGCATTGTTTGCTTCTAAATAGACCGGTCTGGCCGGCAAGCTCTGCGGCTAAATGAAAAGCGTTCTTAGTCTCTATGAGTAGGAAATAAATATAACGGAGGTCTTCATTAGCTTTAGTCGGGTATTTAGTCGGATGATTGTATAAGTAATTATGAGGCTACAATGTAGTCTATATATAGTTGTTTGGTGTAAGAYATGGAATCTTAACCCAAACTTGAAGAGGTATAAATCCTTCCGAATCATTCCATTTGGAAATTCAGGGCAAAATTCTCCACYTTATCCACAAATTACGAATCCGTCAGAATCCCAAAATACCACTAGAGTATTATCATATTCAATKCGGTATCCCGGACTTTTAATAAAAATCACCTCAAGTTCGTTGATATAGAAATACGATTACAACAACTTGTTATGTCTGGTATAAAGAAACAAAAAAAGATCCAAATAAAATCCGCCGTTTTATGTAATAAAATTGCTACATAATAATTTCGGAATAGCTTCTGGTTTATTGCTTTCTTTTGTTTCGTATGGACAAGTTCCTACATCGTATCAGATGATTCTCGAGTCAGATGCTCGAACTGATGAAATAACAATAGCAAAGTTCTTATCTTACAGTCATGCCGTTGAGAGTGCAGAAAGAAAAAAAAGCGGGAAAATATTTTGTGCCGGATTTGTTGTCGACTAAGGTATATTTTACAGGCGAGTAGATTGCCCTCAGTTTCGTCGAGTACTTCAAAAATAACATTCATAAACGTCACGAATCTAGGGCATTCTTTGAGGCGTTCTTTCATATAAACAACAGATGCATTTGTGTTAAGAAAATAGCGTATTTTTACCTACGCTAAGAGTCTACTTCAATTCATCTTATTGATACTTCATGTATTCTACTMTCATAAGTCACTGTTTTATAAGTAAACCTGTAAGTACTTTTTCTATAGTCTGCAACTCATCTCTATTATTAATATCAAGCGAAAGTGAGGCGTTTTTTTGTGTGTGTTGAGCATGCAGGCGAGGAAATAAGTGAAAGTGGCAATTATTTTTCAATTATTATATTTTTATTGATCATTCTTACAAGTTGACAGGCTCCCTCCTACCTTCAAAAACTAGGTCACCTGCTTTAGCACACTACTGACAAATCTATTAATACTGAGGTCTAGTACGAAATTTTAGTAAAAACAAGCGCCCAATGATAAGAAAAAAGACTCTAAACAAACTGAACACTCACGCGATTTCCAAGGAAGTCCCACGCGATTTCCAAGTCCCACGCGATCTCCAAGTCAACTTTAACAAGTCAAAAAAACGCAAAAAAAAAAAAAAAAAAAAAAAAAAAAAAAAAAAAAAATACAACAAAATCCGAATTCTCCAAAATATGACCAAAATATTCAGTATACTTTGAAATCAAGCTAATGCAAAGGAAGTAAACAAAATATAAGCCAAAAAAACAGTTAAACATGTTGTAAAAATGAGAAGAAAAGAGCTATTTTATTGAAAAGCTGTTCGTAAAAAGCCATGTAGTTGGTCCCATGCAATATCCAATATCAAGACCAATATGTAAATAACAGCCCTTTGGTCTTTTTTACTATATTGATTGGAACATAGATAATAGCTACTACTAATTATAAGTCATCCTTTCACCATATAAAACACTTTTTTTCAATATATAACTAACAGCTGTTAAATGATAAAAAATYATGTAAAAGATCGATAAACAATAGCGCTTAATAAGCGAGCAATTACGATTCCAAGACCCCCAACCTAATGTAAAAAGTTCCAGCTTTTACCGGCAATAAGAGACACAAAAGTCGGCTAAACGAAAAAAAATTGGACGGCTTTGGACGGCTATTCTCCTTACACCCAATGGATTGATACCCGGCCGGATTAAAACAATGTGAAATCCCGGGTTTCCAATGGCAAATTCCCCGGCCCRCCTCGGGTGTTTCATAACATGTGGGTCGGGACTAGATGCACCATGCCGGAGAAGTCCACAGTTTCRAGATTAGTAAAATATTTATCGCAAAATGTGAAGGAAAACTGAACGTGACGTAATACCACAGGTAACTCACAAATACAAAGCGGGCGCAKCGAGAGGGCGCCGGTYCTAATTTAAAAGCGTTCGCAGCTCATTTTCTTGACTGTGGAAATAGTTTGGCTTACTTAGTTAGTTTAAAARATTTTCTTAATGTKAAAAAAAGCGCCAAAAGCGTGTGCAAGTTTGTGCTATCTGTTATCTGTGAGCGGGCTAGAGTGACCTTGGGCTACCTGTGGTACTCGGTTTTGATTTTGGCGGGAATAATTTTAGTCAAGTCAAACGGGTCCAAACTCAACCTTCGCCTCTCTGAAGCATTGTGATTTGATAAGCAATGATTATTGTATGATAATGGTTTTGCATTGTCTTACCTTATACACAGTAATAAAGCCCAGAAATTCCAAAACTGATCCATTAAGCTTATTTTTCGTCGTCGAAGACGTTCCTCGTAGTCATCGTAGGTTTCAACTTCCAAGCGCTTATTCAAAGCTCATTTTTTGTCTCATTTTCTTCCCTCGATAAAAGAAGACAGTTTAGACAAGAAAGAGCCTACTTATATACTCGATCCTTTCAGCGAAACCATTTATGTTAAAGTTTAAACTGATACAGCCGGTGAGCGCAAATTCCGTGAGTTACATCCATCCATTCTTGTCAGGCGTTACAAGCGTGCCACAGGAGGTCCAAACTAATAAATATAATGCATTTTTTTTCACCCTTTAGTTTCTGCTAGGACAAAAGAAAACCAATTTGTATCGAAATATAAAGATAGCAGATAGAGGTACATTTGTAGTAACGAACTGCACTCTGCTGTAAAGTGATTTTCAAGCCGCCGGAAACTAAGATGATTTTGGGCTGCCTGTGCTCTTGTCCGGCTACAATGCATTTCTTATTTCCGTCGACAAACATATAAGTTTACAACAATGAAATCTGTCTTATATAGTTGGACTTTGATCACCATAATTGACACTCACGTGTACTATGAACACCTCAAAGCGACKTTTCTTGCAGATTGGCCAATGTTTATTCACACAACTCAGTAAATGTACACGACGCGAACTCAGGCACGAACGACGTCGATGGCATGATTTTCACCAAGTTTAGCCGTATAAAACAAGAATGACATCCAAAGAAAATGTAAGCATTCTTAGTACSCAGTAATTGCAGTGATTCTATCATTGTAAAGAACTTAGAAATACGTTTTTAAATGTAGTTATGGAGGTCATAAGGTTACGTTAGACTGTGAAAGAAATGAATTATATTCGGCATGATTTTTATTACAGCTTCAATTGTTTTCCTTGTGGAATTCCTTGAAATCACGATTCTATTTAAAAATAAGAGTAATCAAGTAAACAGTCAAAATCAAACGCTTTTTGAAGAATAGATTTTCATGCGGCGAGAATTTTAGAGCAAAGAAACTCATATATTATTTATGATTCGAGTGAAAATTAAGCTTTTATACCATGAAAATTAAGCTTATAAGATTAAAGCTCCTTTAGTACTTTTAAGCAAACCTTATGATACAAACATTGTACTCCTATTGATAAATAATGTTTTTTTATTCAAATGTTATCAAATCTTCATTGTTGCCAAGCAAAACAAATATTTTTCCAGATTTCAACACATCTCAGATTAAATAATTTAGCAAAAAAAATATGATTCTCCTACTTGCCAAAAGTTTGGATTCATTTCATATTCATATACTTATTAGTTCATTTGAAAATCAATTCTTATTTATTATAGATATCCCTTCAATCTCTTGCATTTGAGTTCGTAACTGCACCAGATGCCAACACTGGGCTGAGCTGTCTCCATTCAGCCTGTGCCAGCCATAACGATGTCATTATTCAGTCCATACTCCTTTGCAGTCCATCGAAACTTGATACCCTACTAGCTTTATCTACTCCTGTTAAATCTAGAAGCTCAATACACCATGGACTCTTACCGAGCCAGATTTTAGAAGCCTCTGAAGAACCACAACATGAAAGCCTGCCAGGAAAAGCCATGTTGCTTTATGCATATAAAAAGCTTACAGATACGTATGTCCCATTGCATTATCAAGTTMCAGGATTCGGTGAGGTAAGACATCTCAAGAAACTTAAGTTATTGGGATATGATCTCAATAAACCATCTACACACAAGGAGGATGATGGGACAACCATTTTGATGATCMCAGCTGCATCTAATTCAAGAAAAGTTCTTGAGTTTCTGATTCAAGAAGGGGGTAACATTCATGCAAAAGGGCATCATGGGAAGGCTGCACTCCACTATGCTGCATCAACAGGAAATATTGAAACAATGACGTGCTTGCTTGAGCGAGGGGCCAATGTTAATGAAGAGACAACGTGGGGTCGAACACCTCTTCATGTAGCGGCAAGAAATGGGATGTTATCCYCTGTCTCAACGCTTGTTGACTGGGGTGGGGACATTTTTGCTAAGACTGTTAATCAAGACACCCCCCTGATCTTGGCAGCAGAGAAAGGGCACCTTGCAGTTGTGGAGTTCCTCATCCTAAAAGGCAGCAACGTTAATGATTGCAACCTTACCGGATGCACTGCTATGCATTTTGTTGCCAAACAAGGCCACCTTGGTGTGGCTAGACTTCTTGTCCAAACTGGAAGCAGTATTAATGTCATTGATAAAGCTGATTACCAAACTCCACTTTTCAATGCATCTGGTAAGCCAGGAAACCTGGAAATGGTACAGTTCCTTCTCGAGGAAGGAAGTGAAAGCAATACTCGAGATAAACAAGGCCGGACACCTCTTCATTATGCAGGTGATCGTAACATTGCTGAATTGCTTGTGCAATATCGCAGTGACCCAGAATCAAGGGATTACTCTTCAGGCTCAACACCAATATTCCACGCTGCAGCAAATGGGTACCCCGACGTTGTAGATTTCTTGATTGATCAAGGCGTTGATGCCCAGAAAACCAAAAATATTGCTGGAGAGAGTCCCCTCCATGACGGAGTACGCAGTGGTCATAAGAATGTTGCTCTACGACTTATTGATTATGGATGTGACATCAACCTCAAAGCAATGCTAGGTGGTGTTACGCCGCTAATCTTAGCCGTCCTTGCAGGAAATCAAGATATGGTAGAATGTCTCATTGAGAAGGGTGCCCTTGTTAACGATGCCGATAACTGGCAGTCAACACCATTACATAAAGCAGTGGAATGGAATTCTGACACTGACATTATCAATTGTTTGCTATCACATGGCGCACTTGTGGACATACCAGACAGTCGTGGAGAAACACCCCTAGATATTGCTAACAGGCTTGAGAAGAAAAACTTTGTTGCTGTCCTCATGCAGTCAGTGTTTTTGCACAGCACTTGACTAAAATGCTGTGTAGATTAAAGAATATTGACTTTAGGTATATCTCAGTATTCCTTAAAACTTTGGAAAATATTGTCTTTTATCTCTTTGGAATGTGTGTAAATATATTATCAGTGGGATTTCCAAATATAAAAAGGTCAAATATGACATTTTTATTGGTTCTTTGGACTACTTTCCTTTAGATATGAAGCTAGATTTATCATATTTACATTTGTATTATGAAAACTAACCATGCATTAGGGAAGTATTATAAAATGTCTTGTTCATAACAATGACATAAAACCCAGTGGCAGATCCAGGATTTTTCAAAGGGGGGTTCCACCTTGTTMTCGCATTTTCCTAAAGCAAACTTTTTTACTGTGCCTCTCGAACTGTAGCAAAATTAATGTAACGTTAATGTGGTTATAGATCGATAGCGCATCTCTTAAGTCTCAAAAGGCTTTACAGTTCTGTCTTACCTATTGTAAGATATAAGCCAGCTTCATCCTTTCGGATGCAATTTTGTACGATACGTTTTCATTTTATTTGATTTACCATTTATTTTTTTGATTTTGTATGCTCAAGGGGGGTTCCTAGGAACCCATGGAACCCCCCTTGACTCGCCACTGAAACCCATGAAACTCTGTCAAGACTTAAATCAAAATATACAAGCCATGCAATAAAGGGAGCATATTTATCAAAGTGTAACTTAATTTTATCAAAATAAACCTCAATCACCTCTATGATCAATTATAAAACTTATTAATAATGCATAAGCTATTGCTCCAATAAGGGCTGACCATTTAATCAGGTGATTGACCTTGTAAATCTGATACAACCACTAGTGGTTGTATCAGATTTACAACACGGTCGTCACCATTGAGACAACCCAACACTAGCAAAGGTCTCAGTTTTAGTGTCGCATCATAGACCTTCACTAGGTTTTGAAGCAATCAAAGACGGATAACAGAACTCGCTTATGCAACAGATGGCTTGCTTTCCATGTGGGATGGATAATTATTCAAAATGTTCTGTGTTGCAGTAAATTGCGCATGCTTAATAGGGACTAAACTCAGCAGTTACCTTATATGTCATTTTTCGTCATTTATCTCACTGTAATTCATGTTAATTTGTGTTGGAGTTTTATAAGTCGTTTACAACATTCGCGTCCGTGTTGTATGGGAATTACAATCTCTCGACTGCGGCTCGAGATTGTAATTCCCATACAACACGGCCGCTCATGTTGTAAACTATACTTACAAGATGTTTGGTATTTCTTATAGCAAGAGCAACCCAAGTAAGTAGGGGATAGAAGCTGGAGCCTCATTCCATCGTCATCTTCTCATTAATATGATTAACACAGGGAACCCACAGTTGCCTCTTGGRTAGACTATTTAGTTTTGTTGATACATGTTCCAGGCAAACTTGCATCCAAGAACCTTTGGACAATTTTCTTATGTACCAAAAATTGCCATCTTTGAGGTTTACCCAATCACAAAGCAACTTTAACAAGAGATCCATGCAAAACAAAAAGATCTGAAAGGTTCTTGAATGCACTTGGTCCTTGAAATGCACAGCGAGACAAGATTTACTGCATTTGAGTGCCATGGACTTTGAAATGTCTTCATGTCCTTGTTGTCAGTCTGTAAATATATTATCTTCAACATTGTTTCGGTTTGTTTGAAGTGCATAAAAATAATAGAAGACAAGACTGTAAGTATCAACTTTATTCTTACATTCATAAAAAGAATTCTAAAATAATAGAACTTAAAGTCTACAATCATTAAATATCCTACAACTTAAAATTTTAAGAAAAAACCTTTAAAAAAAACACTTAGATAAAACACAGGAAAAGTCATATCTAAATAAAATCATGATTTAAAACCACAAAGCGAATGAATTACTAAGAGACGATTGCCGACTCTACTTGTGAATGAGTACACAACTGTGAATGGGAGCACTCAAGTCTAAGCATTTAACCTGTGAAAAAAGTGATATTCTTCTGTCTTAAGTATACTTACATGTAATTTGTGAAATTTTACAAAAACAAAGTAGGACAAATTTGTAACATTCTGTCAGTGAAGAGGAATTAAGCATCCTTTGAAAGTGAACAGAACACTATTTACTAAGTAACACAAATAAGTACAAAGAGATTGGTACAATTTCACAAAAAATMTGTGTGTTCGCTTGATGATATCAGCTATTCTTTTTSAKGTATAACAGAAAATTCACTTTAGCAATTGTCAGGTTAAATGTAAAAACTAAGAGTTTAATGTTGGCAACATGTTTAACCAACTGTAATGAAAGTCTGGTGATTCCCAAGGGTATATTAAAACTATTAATCAAGTCATTAAAATCAAAATAAAACTGAATAATGTATTCATGGCTACACATGGTTAAAAACTTCCCAGGGAATGCTGTAAGGTAGTGCTTCATGAATATAACATCAAACTTCTAAAGTTATGTAACCACACTGGGTCTTTGAACACAGCACTCCCCCTCCTGCATGTCTGCAAGTTATAATCTACATTATCTATTATAAAATTAAATGTGCTTAGCTTGCTAGTCCTCCAGCGTATGCTCCCTTGCTAAAATATATCCAAAACATAAGCTTTTGAGTCCTACTTATTAACGTGCTACAGATGCTGGGTATTTGCTAAGGCACAACTTTGTCTCTCTGTCGAGAGTACTCAAGTAGTGTGAGCGACTTATAATTTATCTAGCATTTGTAGCACAAGGATTGAGAGAAACAGTGACTGGAGGACCTACTGATCCTCTGTGTTCTTGGCTAATTCAGCTGATCGCCTAGTGTTCAATTTTCCTGGACTTGTGAACCCTTTCCCCTTAGACCTTCGTTTTGAGGCATCTTCGTCATAATCAAGTCCAWCCATCTAAAAAAATCAAGAACCAAATTAACATGAATTGATTTTATGAATGTGTATAAGATAAGAACATTACATCAAAATGGCAACAACAAACCACAAAGATTTATGTTGGATAATTCAGTTTGAAGGTAGAGTGTTTTTTATTTATCAGAGTGTGAAATAATTACTTATAGTTTTATTTTGTATAACAGATATATTTGCAGATCATTTGAGGGTCATGTTTAATGCTTTGTAATGACTTTAATTGAAACAGTCTTCTATATGGATTTATCAGATGGCTTAGCAACAATTTCACAATCTGACAAAGCACTTTATTCTTGGAGTGCAAGTTACGTCATCACCGCAATGTTGGATGAAGATCAGAAAGCATTCCTCATTAGTTTCTCTTGTTCATTCATCCAACATGACCGTGGAAGCTTTGTTCATTATTTCTCAGGGAATACTTTGTCACGTGGGTGCACACCAAGAATTAAGTACTGTAACTTTGGTGCATCATTTTTAGTAATGCATAAAGAAAAAGGAATTTAAACATAACATAATTATTGTCTTTAAAAGAGACATTTCTGAATTTTTTTATCAAAGACTCTGACAAGCTTTGCTTTACAGTTTTAATACAAAATATTACTATATTCATTTTATTTTAATGGAAAAACAGTCAAAGCTGAACTTTAAGATCTTGCTATTTCTCAGGGTTAAATCCAATTCCAAAAATATTTATTTTCAACATGGTGTGGTTTAACATTTTTAGAGATGAGCTACATTGTGTCATTTGACTGGAAAATGAATGGTTAATCATGGGAATTCCTTTTCAAGTAAAGTTGTTTAAGTGTTGACAAGTACACACACACACAAAGTGAAAAAAAATAACCCACTCACAGAAAATGATGTGCGTATCATTGCGTTTATGCTGCAAATGAATCGAAAGGTTTATCATGAGAGAGTGTACATTGTTCATTTTAGTGCATGTTTATAGTTTTGTTTAACTTTAAGACTTCACTCAACACACACCAATCACAGAAACACAAACAGTTCTTCACCACTGACATTGTTTACTGACAATGAAACATTGCTCTGGTTTACCTTATTGCTTTTATGATCTCAAAAAAATGTTGCAAAATTTGACATTTATCATTTTTGGCTAGCTTTTTATTAAAAATAAATAAACAATGCTTTATCTTGTTAGTTGTTATTTAAGTTAACTTGTTTATATTAAAAAGAAAACAACTTATTTATGTACAACCTCAGAACATTTCTGTCAAGTCCAAACAGTCAATCAAAGATGACATTGCAGACTTGACAATACACTACCAAGGTTGTGAAACATAAAAATGCACAAAAACAAACTAAAAGCAATAAAAACCTGATCTAAATGAGTGCTAGGCATGTCTCTTTTCTCAGCTTGAAGCCTGCTCAACCTAAAAGCAATGACCACAGAACACAATAAGCRAATGATTCAATAGCATGCGGCTCAATCACACAAAGCAATTGCTCTTTCAAGGCATGYTGTACAGGCAAACTTGTGGTCAAGCTAGGCGTGAGATGAACGAAAATAAATAGCAGTGCATGTGAATGAATTARATGTTTGAAATTATAGTGGATAAGTTAGGATGAAAGTGATCTGATATAAAATGTCTTTTCTTACAGATTTTGAAAACTTGACTTCACAATTACAACTGAACTTACAAGAATACCAAAAAAGCAAAAAAACGTAATTCAGAATCGWTAAATCTTACATTGAAAAGTATGTTAGCTTACAAATAAGTTATAATATGGAACAAGATATCAAAACCTGACAAAATGACTTGTAATTCTTCAAAATAATCTTGTTACAACACAACAAAATGTTAGTTATTAAAAGCAAAATACACAAAGAAAATATAGGCACATCTAAAAAGCACAAACTTAGTTCCAAACGAAATATTCAGTTTGACTATAATTACATTAAGTTTGTTCCCCTTTCCTTCCCATAGAGCTGTTAATTATTTAACACAATGATAAACAGATACATTGGTTCTATTAAATCACAACCAATACTTTCAGAAGATTAACTATCACTTCACCAGCCAGTACTAGAATGCATTCTCCAAAAGAATGAAAAATTTACTAGGTTGGAAAACAAATTTGCAGCCAATTTCTACTTATTTTGGTCCTGACCACTGTAATCCTGGAAAATTGGGGACAGATAATTTGAAGCCAGATTAGCARTAATCCAGAGTTACCCCAAAAGGAATGTTTAAAGAGGATGAAKAATAATGGGACTTTGAACAACATGGCAAAGAGTATATTGTTCAGCCACAGCTCTTTTGTTGCTTTTTGAATAAGTTGCAGTACCCAAAAAAAGGAGACCAAACTTTTCATTCTTTTACTGTTGGCACTATAGTGTGTTACGAATACTCAGTACAATTTTTTTCACAATCGACACTAAATATACTCACATCATCATGGACAGCATCATTGTTAATCTGAAAACAATAAACATCTATGAGTTACTACTAATAAAAGATAAGAGAACAGAAACCAAACAGAATACAGAGTGGTCCTGCTTGGATTGTGAACAGATAATGACTATACTTTTTGCTACAAGACAGTCGGTAACGGACAAAAGAAAACAATGCATTTTATGAATACAATGAATCAATAGGTTGCCTATAGATTAAAGGAAAGCCAATGGATATCATCAAAACGTTTTTTTTTAATAACCCAAGACTCCTCTAGTATGCAACTCTAAGTTAAATAGTACAAATTGAGATACTTCTGTCATTCAAATTATTTTTCTTCCTTTTTTTGTGTTGCTTTGTTTACATTTTTTGCAGTATATGAGTCAATTAAAGCAATTGTGTTTTGTATTTTTTAAATGTAACACAAAATCAATAATATACCTTTTCATCTCCATTTTGAATCTGAAGGTTTTGYAAGCCTTCYATGGATTCAACTGTTTCACCCTCTGAGCTGACAATACGAGTAGAAGTTGTCTGCTTGACAACCCGCGTGCTTGTGACCATTCTCTTTGTGGTTATTACTGATCTAGAGTTTTCTGTTTCTTCCACTGTCTGGGATTCCGATTGCAGGGCATTTTCTTCTTTTATTCCTCGTTCTTCTGAATTTGATGTCTGATGYTGAAAGGTTTCATGCGTGGAGGATTCAACCTTTTCTTCAGTTGTGACACTTGTGCCGTCACCTGTTTTAAGCACGATTTCGCCAGACGTTGGTTCTGATTCAGCAACATCTTCTATTTCAGCTTTAATTTCTTCTACTTCTTCTTTCTTTTCTTCTGCTTTGTCTTCAGCCTCGTCTTTCTTCTCRTCAACAACAACTTCTGCTGTAGTTGCTGCTGCAGCGYCGGCTTTRTCTGCTTTTCTCTTCTTCTTTTCAGCTTTTTTGGCCTTTTTCTTTTCTTCATCTTTTTCATCATCTGATGAAGATGATGATGAAGACGAGGATGAGGAAGAATCTTTTCGTTTCTTCTCGACTRCTTCTGTGACTTCAACAGCGACTTCTTCTGGAGGTCTCATTCCCTCAGCAAGTTCAAGAACACATTCTGGTGTAAGTCTAGAGAAGCATAGAATTAAAACATAAATTTTGAATAAAAAAAAACACAAAGAAAAATAAATGAATGAATATTGCAAGTGAAAGAAACAATTACTCCCAATAACAATAACCAGCTGGTCTTCATGAGTCAACTGAGCTACTGAAAGTTAGTCAACAGCATTTTGTTCAATTGCCTCTTTCACAGTTTCCTGCTCCCATCTTGAAAGGTAGCCCTGCCTTTATATGGAATCAAGACAACTGTTGCGCATGCAATGATAGATAGCTGTGAATAATTGTCTGTAGGTGTGAAAAAAGGTTTCTATCCTTGCACGCCTAATAGGTGACTATTACTATGACTAGAAGACTATTAGGTGTATGTTTCATAAGATTGTTTGCTAATAAAAATCAAATCAAAGCTTTAGAACTTACAAGTCACTTGCAGTGAGAGAGAATCTCTGTAGTTCTGATGGTGATCGTAAGTAGAATCCTTGGCCGGACGATGTAAAAACAAGTGACTGAATAGCAATCATATCTTCTTTCTTCATGCATGATACTTTGAGCTGGAGTTTGAGGTGAGGAATGGAGTAAACACTGAGGTCTCCTTGGTTACTTAAGCAGGCTAAACAGTGGTAAACCATTCCAGAGTCYTCATTCTTYCTACGAGCATTGATYATAGCAATCTTCCGGACACGAGAGCCATCAACAGCTGTGAGCTTCTCTTTATGACGRGCRTTGAGGTGAGGAAGGCTGAAAACTTTGAACTGTTCCTCAGAGCAGATGACCAAGGAATGCTGGCCGCTGGCTTCTGCACCTAAATAAGATAAAAAACTTCATTAGAAATGATGTTGTGCCAATCAWAGATAAAACAGGTGTCTAACCTTCTTCAGAAAAGTCACCCAACAATGGCAAGCCATCTTTATCAACYACAAAGATGTTGACCACAGGTGCTTTGTGGCGAAGTTTGATCTCRTTTCCCATCTCAGCTTGAAGTTTTTCTACATCATTATCTTCCCCAGGAACAGTGACATTGTAAACAAATATTTGACCAGCGTTTGTACCYACCCACATTGATGGCCCATGGTGAACACCTACACAAAAGATAATGGACTTGTAAGGTAAACAGTTTCATGTACAGCAAATGCTTCTTTTTCAAGCATCTTCAATGATGCAGTTTCCTTTGTTACCATTTCTTTCATGATTAATAGTTTTAATCATAATGTTTGACATAAAACAATTCTCTTTGCAAGTAAATCTTACATAAGAATATTTATACTTGGTGTATACATGTTAAAACTAGAATGCCCTTAAAAAACACCTTAAATAATTTCTTTCACTAATATTTGTTTCTTAAGTAATATTCTTYAGGTTTAATCACAAGGTTTTGATACAAAGAAAGTCTATTTGCATGTATATCGAGTGTAGATAGTTGTATTAATACTGTTGTATACCCACCATCCTTTAGGAATGTATCCACGAAGTATATACACCTAACCATACTTAATACTGTTTCATCCACACGGTTCTCATGTACAAGACGTTGGACAGGAGGTGATTGCTCTCCAGGAGAAGCTGCTTCTGCTCCTTCTCCTTCCTTCTTGGGTGTTTCGTCTCTCTTRCTTGTACCTTTGCGGCTTCTGCGAAGACGTCTGAATGAATCTCGAATGGATTTCTTAAGTGACTTCTTTCTTGAWATTGGCTCTCCTGTGTTTGATAGTTCTAAAATCGAAAGAAATAGAATATTGTTTCTGATGTTACAAATTTATAACACAAGGTCAACTAAAGTCTGGAGAAATAATGAGGCTGTTTACAGCACCAATGTTCAATTTTGATTTTTACTCCATATGAGTATTGGCTATTCTTAAAATTCCAGTAAAGACAAGAATGCCTTGAATCTAAGTGTAAATTGATTGTTTATTCTATTGTTTTCTATCCTTAGGAGCATGGCTACTGGAATTTTAAGAATAGCCAATACTGCATTTACACAAACAGCCAATTCTCGATGAAGTTTCTGMCAAATTATCAAAATAACCAGCTCATTTACCAACTTTATAAATTTCTTTTTCAAGAATTTATGAACACCAACTCACCTTCATCAGAAACTGTGCAATGTGTTGTAGACACTTCCTTGCTTTCAAGGTCAACTAAACCAAAACCATGACAGGTTCCAGCTGCCAGTGCATGCCACTTGTTCTGGTAAGCAAGAGCAGTAATGGGAGCAGCAGGGATTACCTGAATGGCATGTTTAGGTTGAAAGCCACGTTGTACTGAAATCTGYCCTTCCTTTGGTGTCAGTGGTCCATGTCCCTTCCACTGGAGCTTTTCTTTATCTTCAACAAGATCAACCTCCATTGCCTGCAGTTCAACARTGCCATCATCATCACTGATGTTAAAGGTTATGACCTGTCCTCCATTTCCAGCAATGACCAAAGTCTTGCTCTCAGCACACATCAATATCTTCTGAATGGCAAAGCGTGGGTCATCAGTGAAAGGGTCATAGTTTCCAACTTTCTTGAATGGTGGCCAGCCCTCCTCTTCAACTTCTTGTGCWCCATTGTCATGCGCTTCYTGGTCGCTGACAAAGAGCTTGGAAGTGTTCAYGCTGTAGATAAGCTGCATGTCGACTTGRGAGACYTCCCAGAATCGAACTGATCCATCTTCATGACTACAAGAAGAAATTGCACAATATTATTCTAGAGTTGAGTAATAAACTGTGGAAATATTGATGTGGATTTGCTTTAATCAAGACTATTATTTGAATCAATAGTTTATTGAGACACAGATGATTGAAGCTGTGCATAAAAAGTTCTAAAATATGAAAATATTGTAGTGCCATTTATCAGAGATACAGACCAAAGCAGCTAAATGGACCAAGCTGAGTGCACAAGTACTTTTTCAACAGATTTGAATGCTTTTCTTACCCTGTGATCAACATGTTTTTATCATGTGTGTCATCAAGAAGAGARTTTCCACCACACACCGGCCATGCCTACATTGATAAAGGGAATCAGTAAGAAACATATTGAACACACTAAATTCATGAAAAATACTTCATAGTCTAATCAGCACAAACTTGCACTATTTTTTTCAAATGAAGCTGACCATCTTTACACCTTCAACATGTTCAGATGTAAAAAACTCAACCAGCAAGTGACATATTTTTCTACAATCAAGCCAAAAGAGTCCCCCCCTGACATTACTCACCTCAACAGAGTACTCAGATTTCATTTGTTCTTTGCCAGCATTGATGATCTGGTCCCACAGCTCACTTGGACATCCATGGAAGTGGTATGATGTTGTGATTGGAGATGAATGTAAGCAGATCAGATAAGGTTGAATAAATGTTGGATATCTATGTAAAACAAAAAAGAAATTATAAACCACTTACATAAGTAGCTACCATCAATTTCATTCGACTTCATTCAAACATTCTGCCTTGTCAGAATTATCAGAACTAGATATTTGTGGAAAGTTTTGAAGCTATGGACTAAATACTAATATAGTTATGTAGGATTAAAAATACAAGGATTTGTATGGAATTCTTAACATAGGCCTTGGTGACCTCTTTGTGCTGTTTTTGTGCCTCTTATAACATGTGTTTCCTTACCCTTGTTCTTTGGTTTTCAAATCAATTACAACAAATTCTTGTTCACAGAGAACAGCAAGACAACATGGCTCTATGAAAAAAAAAAAAAAAATAAATAAATAAAATAAAAATACAAGTATAATTTCACTTCAGTATTTATCATACAYTCCATTAATAGCTTGCTTTGGAAATTTTGTCCACTAGCAATGCACTAATGTATCAAAACCACTAGMCTTAATTATTTTATTAATTATTTTGTTTCCCTAGGTCTTTATCTTCATCTTTTGTGCATGGCCATTCAACCAGAACATTCAAAAGTTGGTTTTTAATGTTCAATTACTTACTATCTCCGTCTCCTATAACCAGGAAATCAATKACTCTGGATGAAAAATCAAACACAACTTGCGTTGTAGACCCCTGCATTAACGATACACAGTTTTTGTCCCCATAYCTTGCTCTKGGCATGCCTCCAGCAAAGAAAATGTAGTTGTCATGCCATTCAACTTTAGTGATGGCTTTGCAAGGGAAAGGACCAAAAGGAGTAGATGTTTCTTCTGTTGTGATAATTTCACTMCCAACACTCCAGATACTTTGACTGCCATCAGCATGTGAGCTGATGAATTTCAAGCCYTCGTTATTCCAGCTAATGCTTTCAAGGTCGATWGAGTTGGGAAAGGTATGTTGGACATTGCATGATTCGTGGTTCCAGAGAACAATGAGGCCTTTCTTGTAGCCAATCAGAATCTGGAAAGAGTGATATCAATATTAATATTCATGTCTACGTCAAGAGATTGTATATTCTAAGGGATTGCAAATACACCTTTTCAGTTA